GGTTCCAATTCGAGTTTTCTACTTGTAAAAGAAAGAAGATAAATAAGTGGATGCCTTACTTTCTAAATTCATTATCCTTAATGGCTAGAATGATGACAGTTTCTGTCTTCAGGTACTGTTTTCCGGGAGCCTATACTATGCACGAACATTCCCAGGATTGTTCCTGGTAACATCTTCTTGATCTAATTTGTGGTATACATCCAATATCATCAGTCTCGTTAGTACTTAACTTCTGAGATCTGCAGGTTGGAAGAAACCCATTTGTATTGGTAGGCATGCTTTTGGTGATCAGTATCGTGCCACAGATGCAATTATTAATGGGCCCGGAAAGCTCAAAATGGTTTTTGGTGAGCTAGTTGATTTCAGTCTGTATTTATTTTATGAGGCAAAACATACAGATACAAAGCATACTCATGCCAATACTCAACTTGTTTGTTAATTTTTATTTTCAGTGCCAGAAAATGGGGAATCCCCTATGGAGCTGGATGTTTATGATTTTAAAGGTCCGGGTATTGCACTTGCCATGTACAATGTTGACCAGGTTCTTCTGCACTATGCTTCGATGAATGACTATGCTATTTCACTTCCAAGCCTTTTCCTCTCTCTTGTATACTCATTCTTTTTCTGTGGTGAAATTTGCTAGTCAATTCGAGCGTTTGCTGAATCATCAATGTCAATGGCATTTTCAAAGAAATGGCCTCTTTACTTGAGTACAAAAAACACAATTTTAAAGAAATACGATGGAAGGTATCCTTCAATTTATGCTGATCAAATCATTTCCCTTCCAGCCCTCAGAAAATTTCCCTCTCTTCTAATTGAAAGGGGATGCTATTTTGAATCTCCAGAAAATATACTTTTTTAAGAGTTTAGCTGAATTATTCACTGTCAAATTTGATTGTGCCAGGTTTAAGGACATTTTTCAAGAGGTATACGAAGAGAAGTGGAAGCAACAGTTTGAGGAACACTCGATATGGTTGGTTTTTTATGAGATTAATGAGCAGTTTTTGTAGTTTATTTCTGGAAAATGGTTGCATTATTGGTCAAAAGCTGTCACTGGCATATAGGTATGAGCATAGACTGATAGATGACATGGTAGCTTATGCATTAAAAAGTGAGGGTGGATATGTTTGGGCATGCAAGAACTATGATGGAGATGTCCAGAGTGATTTGCTCGCTCAAGGTGATCCTCATGATTGTACTCTGTTCATTCTGTTCCTTTGAAATTCATGTCTTAGTTGAAGGTTTTGATTTGGCGTGATGATACAGTTACTATATCAACTTCTAAAAGTCTAACTTAGCCTATCTTTGTTTATTTAGGATTTGGTTCTCTGGGCCTCATGACTTCTATATTGGTAGGTATCTTCCTGTTAAGCTTTCTTTATAGAATATCACACCCATTGGTCCTCTGTATAATATAATGTATCTACTCTGCAGTTATCTTCTGATGGCAAGACATTAGAAGCTGAAGCAGCTCACGGCACTGTAACAAGACATTTTCGGCTGCATCAAAAGGGTCAAGAAACTAGTACAAACAGTGTTGCTTCCATTTTTGCATGGACAAAGGGACTTGGACATAGGTGAGTTGCTGCTATTCTCTAACCCATTTGTTACTTTTACTGATTGGGGTAAACTTTTGTTCATTGTTACTTACTTGGGTAACTGGTAAAGTTGCTGACATGTGACTAGGAGGTCACACGTTCGAGCTATGGATATAGCCTCTTGCAGAAAAACAAGAGACCCTTGTGGTCCGTCCCTTCCCCAGACCCTCCTGCATAGCAGGAGCTTAGTGCACTTATTTTTCATAGTTGGGACATGTTGCACTATTATGCACTACTTGATCCCTCTTCCCCTTTCTGCTCTCTCTCTCTACACACTCACTCTAGAGGCTTTCCTCTTCTTTCCTTAATTTCTTAGGATTGGGTGAGGTTGCCTGTCTACCTAAACTATAATTATTTTTGCTTGCGCCATCACGTGAATCAGTTTTTCTGGCTTGGTGATATGACTATTACTAAGAGTAGGTCGAATAATGAACTGATTGCCTGCTTGATATCATGTTGTCCCTATAATTAGAAAAAAAAAGGGAAGAGTAGTGGATGCAAAAATGGATTCTGTACAAATTGTGTTACTCCTTGTGTCCCGTATAGTGGGTCTGGTTTTCTGCTTATAAAGGAAATTAAAATTTATTCCTGCTCTTTTCCATTTTTGCTCCTCTATAAATGAAAGAACTCTCCCTTGAGCAAGAGCTGAGAAGTATTTCCGATGTTTTTGAGGAAAGTTGAGGAATGGAAAAGGCTACTTTTGTTATGGTGAGACTATTGGGGCACTCCAAAAGCAAACACAATACTGGTGTTCTATTCTTTTTCCATTTATTTTACTTTTAGGCAAGTGGACATTATCTAATTTGACAGAAAAACTAAAGGTGGCTTTTAATTTCTGATTTCAATGGATCTGTCTCTTAATGCCTAAAAAATACACACTATTCTTCTGCAGGGCTCAGCTTGATGGGAATCAAAAGTTGTTGGAATTTGTTCACACCCTTGAAGCTTCTTGCATTGGGACAATAGAGTCCGGGAAGATGACTAAGGACTTAGCTATATTAGCTCATGGACCCAAGTAAGTGCTGGTTTCCTGCTTCAGTGTCATCTGTACGGCATATATAGTCCAGCTCTTTTTCTTTACTCCACACATGGAATTTCTGATATCTCCTCTAACTGACTGTAAACCCTTAGCCTACTCCTGGGTAAGGACGGAGTCCTCCTCCTTTTGGTATTTGGTACTCAAAATACCAAGTATTTCGAGGTGCGCGAAAGCTGTATCTAACACCACGGTTATTTTTTATTTTTTTTAAAGTAAACAATAAATTCTACATCCCAAGTCACCTTGAACAATTCTACTAAGAAGTTTTCACCTTCTTACTGATAAATTATTTTTTATGAAAAATGTTTTTGACACTAAGACTTGATTCAGTTAGTAAGATAAACCAAATGAAGAGGTGTTAGTTAACATGAATAGTCTGCGACTTCTCTCTCAATTTCAGTGAAACTCAGTATTTGAGTAATTATACTTGTGCAGGGTGTCAAGAGAATTCTACTTGAACACTGAAGAGTTTATTGATGCTGTAGCACAGAAACTTCAAGAGAAGCTTCATGCCTCGGTGCCTATTTAAGTTATCCTGGATTATATAGTGAGAACATGTATGAGCTGAAGAAGATCATGAGCAGCATCCTTTTCACAGTGAACATAACCCTATGCACTTCCCGTTGACATTCTTTACTCTAGTGTTTGTAGTCATTCAGATACGAGATAGCAGGTGGCTGAGTGTTCCATTTGTACTTCTCCTCAATGGGTTGTGTATATTGTCTCGTTTGAATTAGGATCCTTCATAAAAATCCATTTTTCGAGTCATCTGTCAGCACTGTCATTGTGCTGGTGTTCCTGAAACACACTTGGTTACTGAGGTTGCTATTGCAAAAATCAGCCAAGCTCAACAATAAGGAATAATTCTTTTGAATAGAAAGAATCATATGATTACTCTAATATATCGTCCTCTCGACTCTTGGCAAATAGCTCAGTTGTTAAAGCTCCACTCTTGCAATTAGGTTTTTGTTACTGTTACTTTGTTTGTTGTAAACTAAAGCGTCATTAATAAAGAGATGTCTGCAACAGTGAACTGTTGCATGAGTGTTGGCTCACTCTCAAAACTCCTCCGACATGAATAGAATCAATTATCTTGTTCTCTTCGGCGTTCTTTCTATCTACCAAATGTAAGAAATGAAAGCTTTTATTGAGTCCATAGCTGAAAGGGAAAATTTCAAGGAAATCAACCAAAACGGAATGTTAAAAATGGGACAAACCTAAGGGGAAGAATTCTAACTATATCGCGTGGATGGGATAAGTTTATCTTTGAAATATTTTTGTATTTGAGCTTCTCTAATTCCTTTTATCCAATATAATGATAATATTCCTAGTAACTCCAACAGTCTGGCAGTACTTGCACCTTGTCTCTTTACTGATTACTGATAAATACTATATAACTAGAATATTCAATGTTGGCAATAAGCCTCTTTAGAATATTGCTAAAGTGATTCTTGAACAACCTTAATTTATGTTCTAAGAATATAAAGAGGCATGCAAATTGCAACTTTGAATATTATAAAACCCATTAAAGCCCCACATCATTGGTGCTATTATAGGATGACGCAAGAAAACCAACATACGTACCTGTCTAATTTGTTTTCATATGGTTAGAGGTGAGTTAAATATTAATCCGGAAGGATAATCATTTTTTAATTGAATTTTGAATAAATCATTTATGCATATTATTTAATTTAATTTTTTAAATAAGTACTGCTCCCTTGATGATTGTAGTAGCACTAAGCACTTCGTGACGTGTTCCAATTATGACCCAATTTATAAGTAATCATGTCTTCTAAAATATGACCAATCTCAAATCTTTTTAGAGCTACAAATTCAAAATTCGTACAAGAATTGTTGATTATAATGGTGGCTCCGCTCCTTGTTACCTGATAAGATATGATAATTTGAGACATACTTTTGTACTGCATGCAAATAATTAAGAATTTTCTATTATTGCTAGTAAAGATCAATCTTTATATATGTTATGCATATACAAGTTGTTAGTGATAATGCATGTATGATGAAAGGCCGCCGAAAGAAACGAGGTGACCAACTTTGAATTATAAAAAAAATGTATTTTCAATAGGGATAAAACATGAGAATCGTACCACGAAATGATCAGTTACATACCTAATTCTGTGAAGATCTTTTTATATGGTGAAATTATTTTTTTATATTATTTATACCACTAAACTATACTAGGTCCTATTAACCCTCTAAACTATGCAAGAATCCAATTACTGAATTTTATTCCTAATATGAGCCACAAGTTGGTCCAGACTAATCAACTTGTATATATAGAGCTTTTTGAAAGGCATTGTTAACCAAAAAATAAGAAGTGTCCAGTCTAAGCTAATCGATTGAAGATGGTACTTACCAAAGCCAAGGAAACAATTACTGCCAATCCAGTTGTGGTCTTCAGGTAATTAATTTCTGTTTGATTGTCAAATGTGAACCAAGTGTTACTATTAATTAGTTTTTGTTTGATCTCAATTGAATTCCCAGCAAGACGTACTGTCCCTTCTGCGTTAGTGTCAAGGATTTGTTGTCTAATATCGGTACTTCCTTCAAGGCCATTGAGTTAGATTCTGAAAGTAAGGCATCTTCTGCTTCAGCTTAGCAATTACAATCGCACTACTTTATTGATACAAAACAAAATTAAATGACTTTGTTGTTGTAGCGGATGGAAGTGAGATTCAGGCAGCACTGGCTGAGTGGACTGGTCAGCGAACAATACCAAACGTCTTCATTGGCGGGAAGCACATTGGTGGCTGTGACTGTGTGTCTTCCTCTTTGTTTTTTTAACTATATATGGTTAAATTCCTTGACATAATCTTCATAAAAATAATCTTAAGATTTACTTGGGAATTTTAATTTGCAGCCACAACTGCTTTGCACAGGGAAGGGAATCTTGTTCCTCTGCTAACCGAGGCTGGAGCACCTGTTAACTCTTCTACAGCTTAAGAGGATCAAGTAGTTGGTTGTTTAATGAATAAACTGATTTTATCTTGTCTATAGTTAAGTGATAATTAATAAAATGATTTATGTTTTCATATCGCAATTCCAAATTAAGAAATTCAGTTGAACCTCATTGCTGAGTCAAAACAAAGACGCACAATAGACAGAGACAAATCCAATATTTAAAGTTTATACTCTTTTAAGACATTTGAGTTGATATGCAATAATAACTGCATTTGTAGGTGGTGAATTTTTAATGCCTAAACCAAGTTATTAAGATCCCTTTGGTTCCTGCACAATTTAGAAACGGTTACTAATAGATATAAATTCCATCAAAGCAACTAAATAATCACAAAAGCAAACAGAACCTATACCCGCCCACTAAAAGTTGTATGTATATCCACTCAGTTACCTTCCTGTTCTTTAAATTTCAAGAAATATGATCGAACACATGGAATTATTGAAGCTCTTCTTGGAATCTTGAACCCTAGACGCAGTACATAGTCATAACAAATCATCAATAACTCTCACCAGAAGTTCTATTGAATCTGCAATATCAACTAGAAATCCTCAGTTACCTTCCTCTTATTTGAAATTTCAAGAAACATGATACAAATTTGCACTGAACCTGTTAAAACTTTAAAATTGGCATTAAATTCGTTAGATCTTTAAATTTATGAGTAATAGTTTCTTACTATTTTCGTTAGTTTTTACACAAGAATTTATGTTTTGTGTATAAAATATTAATCCTTCTTATTTAAGATTTAGCCGAATTTGCTAGTGAAATTCAATTCGGTTAAATTCTTAATTCAATCGGCTAAATTAACAATTCATCTAGTCATTTCTTCAATTGCAATCCTAGCCACATTTGCTTCCCAATCTAACAACTTTCAAATCCTGAAGAGCAGCCCAATTCTCTTTCCAGCAACACCAAATCGGCCCAACTTCCCTTTCCCATACAATATTTCAGCCCAGCACCTCAATACGGTCCTCAGAGACCCAACCCACCAATACGAACAACAATACATACGTATACCCCAGACCCCGCCTCGTCTTCTTCCTCGAACCCACCAGTGCGAAACCCAGCAAGCCCAGACCCCGCAGCGTCTATTCGCTCTTCGTACAGTATTCCGGCCTTCATCGTCGGAAGAATCTGTAGCATCGGCATCTGTAAGTATACTTCTCACAACTCTATGTAAATTCTTCGTCTCTGAATTGGGTTTTTCACTGTGCTCAGAAAAAAGCATGCTTGTTTGTAGTTACTTTGGGTTGTCATGGTATACCAAAAGCTTAAAATTACAGTTCGATTTAAAAGATTTTTTTTTTCAAAGGAAAGCAAACAGAGCACAAAAAACACTAAGAAAACATCTGGCCATTTTTCCATCTTCATATTTCCCAGTGGCTGAAACCTGTTTCCATTAAAACTGAGAGCATAGAAGAATCTCGTACATACTCTGTTTGATTCTGGGTATTTTCTGTCTTTGAAGTCGTTTATAAGAACACATATCAAGGGTATGTAGAGTTTGAAAAAAGTGAGTGCACAACTTTATACTTATTTATAATTCTGTTAACTTATTGAAATCATGAGATAAGAACACTATGTTTGACAAATTGTAATCAATACATAAGAAAGGGCTTATGTTGAAATTAGCAGACGATACTAGCCTTGCTATATATTACATTGCACATATTCAATGGATTATATATGATGGCTGAATAGGACTAATTTCTCTGAGTGGCTTAACTGAGGTTAAACAGGTTGACTAATTTTAGGTCCAGTGTTTAGTTATGATAATATGATATTTTTGGAGTTCTTTCTGATTGTCAGTACAGGTGAACCCAGGTTTTCCTCTGGTTTCTGGTGGTTTTTACAAGAGTCTGTCATAGAACGTGCTGAGAACTTGATCTAAAACTTATTGTTTGCATTATCTAGAGGATGTAGACGATATCAAATTGTACTTTTTAATGCTAAAAGGATGATCATTATTTCAAGTAATTAGCCTAGCGGTCAATAAACTGATAAAGTGGTTAAAATTTTTAGGGATTAGTGTCCAAATCTCAACATAGAGATAAAAGATTAGATAATGTTATTTGGTACTTGTATTGGTGGAAGGAACAACCATTATAGCTGATTTGAATGCTACCATTATAAGAAAGGCGAGATGAGACAAATGCATTGAGGTGAGCTCTGCTGAGGTATGGAGCGTCCCTTATGGCATGAGCTTGGGGGTAAGAGAGCAAAAATAATCATATTAATTAGGAGTTGAAGCATGATCCTAAACAAGAAGCTTAATCAACCTGATGAAAGGATTAATATGTGAGCAGTACTTTACTGTATTTAGATTGGCCTCCGCATCTAGATAGGCAATTATTCTTAATCATTGTATTAATTTGAACTATTCAGAGTAGTAGAAGAGAAAGCACGTATCTCAATCCCGAGAAAGGATAAAAGGCCAAAACAATTCGTTTCCCCCCTCTAAAACTTGGGCAAATGACTTGATTTGAATTTCATAGTACTCAAGGTTTGGCACATTCTTTTAGGAAAAGGCGTGGGACAGTACATAGTTTCTAGAAGAAATAGTGCCCCTAATGCTAATGGGATGTAATATATAGCAAGCCTAGTATTCTTTAACTACAAGAAGCATTGCACATTTTCAATGGATTTCTTAAGACAAATACAAGATTTGGATTAAAGCTATAGGGTTGACCGAACCCGTAAGCTCTAGGCTTGACGAATTGTTAAGGTTACAGTTCTGTTTTTCAAGCTGCATATTTTATTGGGTTTCTGCTGTTTCCTTTTCCGCACTTTTGAAGCTCTCGAGTAATTATTGGGTTATGTTTGGCAGGTAATTAAGATTCAACCATTCTAAATGATTCTTCCGATTGACCCAGCAAATAAATTATCGTTTAAGCGCTTTATTAAAGATGGAGATTTGGTCATTGTGTATGAGAGGCACGACACAATGAAAGCAGTGAAGGTCAGTGAGGATGGGGTTCTGCAGAATCGTTTTGGTGCTTTTAAGCATTCTGAATGGATAGGTAAACCTTTTGGGTCCAAGGTTTTGAGTAACAAAGGTGCTTTTGTTTACTTGTTAGCTCCAACGCCTGAGCTATGGACGCTAGTACTGAGTCACAGAACCCAGATTCTTTATATAGCTGATATTAGTTTTGTTGTTATGTACCTGGAGATCGTTCCTGGTTGTGTGGTTCTTGAATCTGGTACTGGAAGTGGATCTTTGACAACTTCGCTTGCAAGGGCTGTTGCCTCCACTGGCCATATTTATACCTTTGATTTCCATGAACAGAGAGCTGCCTCAGCTAGGTAAGACTCTAATACCTAGGAACTTATTTGTGGATTTACAGTCATTAAGTAGTCAATTGTTCTAGTTTGATTTCTATCAAGCTTTTGTTGGTTTAAGTGCATCTACTATCCTTTACAGTCATTCTAGTGCAGAAATTTAGTTTTAGAAGATGTTTAAAACTCATGTTAAACACATTTTTAGTTGTAGGGCACTCCTCAAGAGGTTATAAAATTTTATCCTTCTTTTAACTAGGGCTCTTTCTACTGACGAAGAACATTTTCATAGGATTTCTTCTTGTAGCAAAATGTTTTTTTTCTTCTTTTTGCTGTTTGATTAAGAAGTGATAAGGTTTCAGGAGTTGGCTCTAGAGTGCCACGGGAAAGAAACATCTTCCCATGCAGCCTTTATGTTGTAAAAGTGTAATACTACCACCATGTAGCATTGTGCACTAGCACAAAAATGTTGCAAGAGTTGACAGAGAAAATTTGTTCAACACTTGCCTCTTCATGCAAATATAATATCAATTAGGAAAAGCGTTCTTTTTCCAATCAACTCCGCGCACCCATCTAAAAGACGAAGAATGAGATAGAGGAGCTCATTATAATTTTCATTTTATGTGAGTTTAACTCGGTGTTTAAAATTTCCGCATATAGGGAGGACTTTGAAAAAACAGGGTTGAGCAGTCTGGTCACAGTAGGAGTAAGAGATATACAGGGCGAAGGGTTCCCTGATGAATTTTGTGGGAGAGCAGATTCAGTATTCTTAGACCTTCCTCAACCTTGGCTTGCCATTCCTTCTGCTGGCAAAATGTTGAAACCAGATGGGGTATTGTGCTCCTTCTCTCCATGCATTGAGCAAGTACAACGCTCATGTGAAGCACTCAAATCACAGTTTACAGGTAAGTTATTTTCCTGGAGACTTGGCCTCATTCAGTTTAAAACACTACTATAGAAACTACAGACTCTCATGTGGCAAGTGTTTTTGATTTCGTAGATATAAGAACATTTGAAGTACTTCTTCGCACCTATGAAGTTAGACAAAAGATACTAGAGAGCTGCCCAGTAAATGAAGGAGATTCTATTGAGCGTCCTCCACGGAAGAGGAGGCAGGGTTCTGCTGAAGGAAGCAATGGGACTGAATGTTCTTCTTCTCCTACAGTGGTGATTAGGCCTTCTGGTGAGGCAAGAGGTCATACTGGCTATTTGACATTTGCCAGACTCAAATGTTTTGTGTAGTATGTTTCAACGAATATCCAATTTTTGTGGTCGGGTACACTGTCCGTCCTTTAGATGTTGTGCTTATTTTTTTTGTTGATTCTACGAGTAGATATCAGACAATTTTGTCTTGAGATTTAACAAAAAGGTAAAGAATTGCTTCTACTCGGAGGGTATTTGTTTTCGATATTATAAAACCTTCTTTATGTCACCCTAGGGGAATCAGATTTTGTGCTACTTGCATTGCCTTTTTTTATTAAAAAATTAGTTTTATACAACTTTCAGGTTGAATTGTTAAACAGAATGAGTTACCATTGTTTAGAAAGTACTATGAACTGACTTGGATGGCATAACATACTTGATTTTATATCTTTTTTTTGGCAGTGAGGATGTATAGCTTCATCTAGGTAAAATATCAACTAGGGGATGGTCAGGTTATTTTTCTGGAATAGCAAGTTTGCTTGCTATACATTATCAAAAGCATGTTGAATGTCAACTGAACCAGGACAAGCTATATTTTTTGAAAAAATTACTTAAATACACAACACTTTTTTACCTATTCTCAATATTTCCCTACTCTTTTACTAAAATACAAAAATCCCTTATTTTCCCCCAATTCAACTTAACCGGATACTTTATTAGTTTAAGTATCCGCCCGTTATTAATTAAAGTATCCGCGCTGCTATAATATGCATCCGCCCGTTAATTAAGTATCCGTGCTGCTAACAACTTAATAATTTAAGTATCCGTCCGTTATTAATTAAAGTATCCGCGCTGCTATATTAAGTATCCACACTGCTATATTATGTATCCGAAAAACACTAAAAAAAGGGATTTTTGGTAATTAATGAAAGAGTAGGGAAAAGAAGTAATTTCTTTCTTATACTATGTCATTTGCCTAATTTTTACTTATTTTTTTCTTCCTCTTGTTTTCACTTTTACTATATTTTTCCTATTTTAAATTACTCTAAATTTTATATCTATAGAAATGATCCTTTTTTTTTTTTTTTTTATCAAATATTATTTGCAAAAATTATAACCAAGCACAACTCCAACTTCAAAAATTTCATACAAGGTAAAAAAAAATGTTGCTAATTTTTTAAATAGCATATTTGATGGTATGTTTGAGATACATTAGTCAAGTTTTAAAAAATACATTTAGATTTTAAATATTCTTTACAAAAAGTATGACCAAATACAATTTTAATTTCAATTTATTTATTTTTAAATAAAATAAACTAAGCAGAATTGTTAATAGTAATTGTGGATTAAAGGAGCCGAATCGTTATTAGTTGTTTCAGTATCAAACAATTGAGGAGAGGTTGTGGCTGGACGGAATATTTAATTTTCATGACTAACTATTGAAAAGCTATTACATGGAAAAAGAGGGAAAATAAAGTATGTGTGTGTTAGTGTGGCATTGAGGAAATTGGAAAGCCACATGAATAGTCGATTGCAAGTCAGGTCACATTAGATGGTGACCACAAAACCTCTCGTCTTAGTGCATCTCCAACCCAAACACCAAAATTTGGTATCAACTCTATTTTTGGTCAAATCAACTTTAACCCACTGCACCAAATTTTACACAAAAAAAATATTTTTTTCTCTCTTTTTATTATTATATAATTATTTCTTATTTCATAAAACAATTTCTTTCTAAAACATTCACCATATATAATTCATATTATTTTCTTTTATAATCGTTTAATATAAAATTATTTTGTACCATAATTTTTTAAATAATATAAATTGCTAGAAAATATTATACATTATACATAATAATGGATAATACAAATAAAAGTGAAATCATTAATGAAATACAATTAAATAAACATTACATAATTGAAAAAAATATTTTAAATTCTACATAAATATTCAACTTTCAAGATCACTACGGTGCTCTCATAAATGCTCTATTAATGTATTACGTAGTTCAAAATGAGCAATGTTTGCATTTTTAATTTTTGTGAAGGTTAATTGTAGTTATATCCAATTATAATTTATAGTAGAATTTAACATAAATTTAATTTTTAAAAAAAAGTCATAAATAGAAAAATTAATTTATAAAAAGGCTAAATTTTATATCTAAAATTAATATTATAAAAATATTACATAAAATTTAATTAAATATACAAGAGATTTAATTAAAACATACAATTTATATAATGTTTAATTAAAAGTTTGTATAATGAAATAATATTAAAATATTCAAAAAGTGAATTGGTGTGATGAATAGTGTTACATCAAATTTAGTGTAAAAATTAGTGTGGGTTAGAGCTCAAAACACCAAATTTTACACCAAATTTAAAATTTAATGTAAAATTTGGTGTTGGGTTGGAGATGGTCTTAACCCTTGTCTCATTATTCAACAATACCACATATCCTTCACTCCCTTAATTCACACGTGATTCTTTTCTGCCTGTCAACATAAGCACCCCATCTATGTAAAATGTCATTCAATTTTTTTGTCTTCCTTTATTTTTTCCTTTATTCTTGATACTCAGCATCCTACGTGGTATATATTGTGTGATATATTACATAAATTTATAGGTGAAATTCAATAAGTGAAGTTTGAGGTCACATATCTATAGTTTAAAATAGTCTACGAATTTTGTTGAGTTAAGCTTTAGACAAATAAATTGATATAGCATAAGTATTTTTAAGGTCTCATGAAATAAATACCAGCTATATATAATCATAAGCTCATTTTCCTGGATGAAGCTGGTTTTGCAAGTTGTTCAATCAAATTCGAAATGTCAAATGCCAAATGAACTTTGTACAGACTGTTGAAAGCGAAAAAAAAAGGCAAATAAAACTCTGTACAAATGTGGCAGAGGGAGCTTTTCCTGCCACATCAATAGTCATCAATGCATGTCAGCTAAATACATTTGTGACCATGGAAATAATACTAATCTTCATTTTTACTTTTCAATGTCATAAATCCCCACGCGGGCCCGTGTCCACTCTTTTCGTTTTAATTTATGTCACATAATTAAAATTTTGAGAGTCACTTCATTTTTTAAAATTATTAATTATAATAATTTATAATAATTTCATAAATTTTACTTTTAAAAAATTTGATCTTCTATATTCAAATTCACAATAAAAATCTAAAGTTTAAATCTCAAAATTAGAACGATACGTCAATATCATATAAATTTAAACAGAGAAAATACAATCCAATAATAGGGTTATGGCTTAACCAAAAAAATCTGGTCCCTTATATTATGAAGGGGGACATGCGTAACAGTATAAGATATTTAAGGCCCAACCAGGAGAAATGAAGAGATAACTTTGACCATCTCCTATTTATCTCTATTTTATTTTCTATATATATTTGGAAAAATCATTTTCTCTAAAAAAAATAATTAAAAAATTTAGTTCAATAAGAAAAATAATTTCTCTAATACAAATAGGAATATCAGGAGTATTATCACTAATATTTCAAATTTATTGTTTTCTTTTCATCCACACAATATTTTCAGCCTCCACATCCTGCTCATATAGTATTTTATTAAATTACCAAATAAATACTCTCAAAATAATATTTTTAGATTAATTATTTTAAATTATTTCCTCTATTTCATATTAACTGAATTTGTGAGCAATGCACACTTATTAAGAAAAACATTTAAGGACATACTTTAAATAAAACTTTCCACTATTGTCTGTTGTAATCATAAAATGTTAGTACTTTTTAAGTAGTTCAATTTACCTATTAGAATATAATAAATTTCATTAAAAGAAAAAATAAATATAAAAAAAAATTCAAATATCCATCGCTTTCAATTAATATGAAATAGAGGAAGTAAAAAATTCAATTATTTTCCAATAAAGAACATCTTCCATAAAAAATTTCCATCCTATCAAACCCTCGACATATAAAATGAGAGGGAAGGAATATAATAATAATATAATTATGGTTGCATCTCCTCCCTGCTGCCAACATAAACAGCCGATATATGTATAATTGAATGTCCAATGGAAGAATGTCAACCATCAATGTCGATATAAGCTGTTTCGAACTAGATTTAGCTCTCAACAAAAAAAAAATGGGAACCTCTACATTTTACATGTCTCTTCCCACACCATTTCTAAAGCCTCAAAAACCTTCCAATCAAATCTTTATTACCAGTAATAATAAATTCAACTCAGCTCTTCAGCGTTATGCTTTGCACAAGCCAAAAAGTTGTTCGATTAAAAAAACTAGTGTTCCTATTCTGGTAAACAATTCATGTAAACTGGATCTGTTCAAAGTTAGGGCTGTAGCAGAAAATGCAGGAGAATCTGAGGCTGTGAAGCCCAAGGAAGTGATACAGACGCTTCAACTTGGCGCGATGTTTGGAATTTGGTACCTTTTGAATATCTGTTATAATATTTACAACAAACAGGTACTCAAGGTTTTTCCATTTCCGGCGACTGTTACGGCCTCACAATTTGGCTGTGGGACGTTGCTAATACTCTTTATGTGGGGATTTCGTCTTCATCCGATACCAAAAATCAGTAAATCTCAAGTTAATCTTTCTCCTCTCCGATGCCTCTTTGTAGTTTTTTTTTATGTATTCTGTTTATATTGTTATTTTGAAATTCAGTATTTTCCTTTCAACCCTGCTTTGATTACACTTATTTTGAACAACCTCTCTATCCCACAAAGTTAGATGCAAAGTGTGCATACATCCTACTCTCCCCTGACCGATTACATAGATCACTGCTGTTGTTGTATTTTCTGGTATTTTGTTTACAGAGAATAGTTTTCATGAGAAAAACTGTATGAGATACTTCTTTTAATAGTTATTTTAACCTTTAACTTCAAAATACTTGCTTCGACGTCTATTGATCTTTACCACGCCAAAATTCATCAAAACACAGTCCATATGTTAATATCATTATTAATTTTTTAATATATATTGTTTAACATTTTACACCGAAAATGACATCCGGTCATATCAAACACACGTAAAATGATCCATTTTTCATATATGAGAATTTTGTTTTCAGTACAACTAACTTTCTTTGTTTTGATTTATATATTGAATATCCAGTTTAAAGCAATATTCACACTAGCTGCAATTCACACATTGGGTAATGTTTTAACGAACATCAGTCTTGGGAGAGTAGCAGTTTCCTTCACTCACACAATCAAAGCAATGGAACCATTTTTCACCGTGC